CGGCGAGCGCGCGGGCGACCTGCGCGGGCCCGGCGCTGTGTGGGGCCGCTCCGTGCGGCCGGCTGCGGCCGGGCGGGCGGCGTGGCGTCATCTGTTTCGTCACCGTCGTCATTCTGCTTCTGCGTTCGCGGGGCACCGGGAGACCCGGCCGGGGGGGCGCCCCCTAGGCATCGAGGGCGATCGGGACGAGCTTCCGGCGCCGCCGCCGGTGGCATCTGCCAGGCGGAGAGGAAGCGCGGCCTGGGGGCGAGGGGACGCGGAACCTGGACTGAAGCAGGGAACACAAGTGTCACAAACGTTCCCGCCAGGGGACTTGCGGCTGACTTCCCTGGTTAGTCCCTGGTTAGTTCCCTGGCAAGAGGACTATGCACGTGGGGTGAAAAGCAGCACAGGTAGCCCCCAGTGACTTGCTTCATTTCGGACCTAGTTGAATTTTTTAGTGTGGACAGTCCACTGTGATCCACTGTGAAACTCCTTTCTAAATTCCGCTTTCAATGGGTAGGGTACCCTGCACAAGAGATTTTTAATATCATATGGATATATAACATAAGGCAGAATATGAACTTCGGACAAGAGGTTTATAAATAAAAAGCCATAAAGGTAGGAGGGTCAGGTGACTTTCTGCTACAAGATTGCTTTCAGCTTAAAATCAGATCATTCTGAGTTTGGATGTCAAACCCGTGTGTGTGTAATTTAATCCTAATCTTTTGGGGGTTCAACTGGTTTTGCCCTTTTACTTATTTATTTTCTTCCTACACTACAATACCAGGGCTTGGTGGAAGGAAAATAAATATAAACTGGATTCCCTCTGACTTCCAGTAAATGTTGTCACACTGAAGTTGCATCAGTCTGTGGGCAGCATTTTTTTTTTTTTTTTTTCAATCATGATCACATTTCAGCCAACTAGATGCAAGGTCAGATTATGAAAAGACAGCATAGGTATTTCCTGTGGATCCATTTAAAACAGGTGTCCTCTCCAAATAGTCTCTGAGTCAGAGGATGTGGATTGAGGGGAGGCAGGGAAAGCATAGTGTTAGAGGTAAAAAGAGTAGCAAATCATGAATGTTTTCTTGAATTTTTTCCAATCAAGTTCTAAACTGCAATAGAGACCCATTAGATTTTTTTAAATTGGCACTATAATTATGCCAATAGAAACTGATGTCACAAGAAAATTCTACCAGCATAAAACTATTTGTTGCTGATGATTCGTAGTCATTATTCTGATGTAAAGTTGAGTCTATTTTTTAAAATTGTGCCCTGGCTACATGTTTGTAAGATTGCAAGGGGAAAAAAAAGGTGGATCTATTGAAGATCTATCTAACTAAGGCCTTAATATAGTTTTATGAGTTCATGTGATATTTTCAAAGTTCCATATACCCTTCCTACTTTATATTTTAGAAAATAATTAATAAGACTCCCTGTCCCCATCATTGCAAAATAAAATATTTTCATAAAGCAATTTGAATTTTTTCCTATAGTTAGTTTCTTTTAAAATGAATACATACAACACTCAGATAAGTGTTTGGAACCTATTCTAATAGGTTTGCTTTAGTTATTTTGTGTTTTACTAACTGATGAGATAGTTTTGTGTTAAAAAAAAATGAAACATTTGCATGAACTTTGACTCACATACTATTTTATGAGAATTTTAGTCCACAATTTTTGGAACTTCTTTATAACTACTTATTAACATGTCCAGATTTGCTGTTTGCTTTTCAGACCATATCTAATAATTTTAGTCATGTTTTACAGGTATTCTTTGTGGAAAAAAAATTAATCTACGCACAGTTTGTATTTTTCCAGTGTAAATAATACTATGGAGTATTGCTCCTAAAAGTTCACTCAGTAGGTTATCCCTTTTTATGAAGTGTAATACATTATTTGCTCGTAAGCATTTACATGATGATTCTATATTTGGTTTCAAAAATACTGTTTTTCATTGTATGGAAGATATATCTGCGTGTCACTTTTTTAGCTTTTTCATTCTACAGCACAATTACTGGAAATAGAGTAGAAGAACCATATCCAGTTGAACTTCATGGATGCTGATGAACATAAGAAACACCAAGGGAAGGTTTCAGGACCCTGTTGTATCTTCTAGTTATATTAGTGTTTTTGATTGTTGTAATATTTCTTACTCCTAGACGACATATGGGCTGAAGATACTTTTCCTTAAGTACTTCTAAAAACTGGTACAGATTCTTCATTCCCCTTTTAAAAAAAATTTTGGAGGGGAAAGATGGTGGACATATTGGTGATGATTAATACCTGCTAATTTTGGAAATGACGGGACCCCTGTGTCTCCTTTACATTGTTTTTCAAGAAGCCAACTTAAGTATAGGTCTTTGCCTAAAAATTCAAGAAGAATAATTGTGTTTATGCATGTCCTTACAATATTCAATGTTTATACATTTCCTTTGGTTCTACATTTACATTAGATAAGCATTTTATTATAATATCACTATATTTGGACAAATAATTTTTACCCCTTTCCATTTATCTCCACTGAAAGGGTGGAAATTGAGACATTTCCATTTGAGAGGCTTGGGCATGGGGAAAATCCTCTCAATATCACAGAAAAGACACCTTTGAGTTGCTAATTTTTTCATTATAAAAGTAGCATATTTATGACATTAAAATAGGGAAATTTTTCAGAACAAAACATCATCCCCATTCTCATGACCCAGAGAAAACACTGAATTTTAGCATATTCCTGCCAGTCTTTTTATGATACGTACTTAGCTGGTTGTCATATACTTTATAAGAATTTGCATCACACAGATGTTTTAGCCTTAAATTGACAAGAATTTTCTCTTATTACTTAAAATTCTTTGTAAATATCATGTTTAATGACTGCATAGCACAATGTCATATGGACATATATTTTGCTTAAACTTTCCTCTGTTTGGGGATGTTTAGGTTGTTTCCAGTTTTTCACCACTATAAATACACTACAATGTCCACATTTTGAATTGAAAAAGCCACTTTTAGGAATTATTTGACCTCAAAACCAATTAAGAAATCACACTTTTATAACTTAATGTGTATAGTATACTCATTCATGCGTGTTTCTATGAGAACTCTTTTGCCCCAGAGGGCAGTTGGAAGATTAATGAAACAGGTAAAACTTACTCATTGATGCTCATTATAGCTTTTAAAAATTGCCGTAGATAGGAAATGTAGTGCCAATGCATTTAATTAGCCAGATTTTTTTTTTCTTGTTAACCAGGAAGAGTTGCTTTTTACAAGCCAAATGAGCAGCAGCTACTGGCAGTTGTGTTGGCTTAGCTATTGCTGGCTGCTACAGATTTTGCTGATTTAAAAATGAACTGTATTTGCTGTAGAGAACTCCACTAAGTTATGAGATTTCTAAACACTAAGGATTCTGTGGAAGGTCATTGAAAAGCTTTAGAAAAAGTAGTGTCTAGATTAGTCGTGAGTCATTGGATAGATCGCATACACATGCAAAACATCTGGTTAACTCCCCAGTGTTGACAGTGCATTTACCAATGCTCCTCATCCTTCGTAGAATGTTCTCTCTTCACATGCATATATCCAAACTCAGCACATCCAGCAAGACTCGGTGTTTAAGTCCACCTGGGCTGACAATCCCTCTTTGGGGCATACGATGTGGTCTTCCTGCTCTGAATGATCTACCTGGATGACCTACTGGGTGATTCAAATTCTCCAAGCCTTCATTGCTCTCTTTATTTCCTTCTCAAAAATTGTCCTCTATGCAGTGTTCCTAACCTCTGCAAACAGCACCAGCCTGCCATGTTAAAAACATAAGGACAGAGTCGGAGGGCCTGGAGATGCCAGTCTCTTGATGGTGCTAAACTACTCCCAGAAGCATAGCAAGTTGAAGGTAATATACTTACCAGAATTCCTCTCAAGGAGGGTACTGTGTTGTTAGAAAAAATGTTTTCATAACCTACTTGGGTGTATGGTGGTAACAGGCGAGAGCATTCTAGACTAACAGTAAATGATTGCTAAA